CACCCCCATGCACAAATTTTGTGCACCGGGCCTCTAGTATTGTAATAACTATGCCTGAGGCCAGGTGGGTACTTGAAATATTGGGGGGGGGGGACCACATTGTGAAGTGTATGATTGTCTAACCACTATACTGTACACCTGACACTCATGCAGAATAATATTGAATGTAAATTGTAATTGAAAAAAAAAAAAAGAAGTCCAGAAAACAGATGAGATGCATTTGTCTGAATAGGTGGGACCGGACAGGCTTCTCCGGGAAAGAGGGATGAGGATGGGCCAGGAAAGATCAGTAACTTCACAGCCCCAGACCAAGTTGCAGGAGCAGCTCCCAATGCCCAGGAGAGACAGAGGAGCGGGGAGGCTTGCAGGGGACAGCTCTGGAGTGTGGACAGGCACCAAGCCCCGCTCTGTGGCTGCCACACCCAGTGCAGTTACAGACCCAGCAGCTGATAAGAGGAGCAGGGTGGCCACAGAGGCATCATCAGCTTGTGACTTCCGATTCAGTTAGGCCCACGCTGATAAGAATGGCCACACTGCCTGGCCTCTGCTCAGTCCTGAACCTGCAGAGGCTGAGTTCTCGGTCCTTATTCATTTCACCCTTCCCAACTCTCTCCCTCCCTCCTCCCTCCTCCCTCCACCCCTCTCTCTCTCCTTCCCTCTCTTCCTCCATTCACCCATTCATCCATTTACTTTATCTAAAGAGCCAAGCATTCTCTTAACATTCTCTTGTCCTATGATGGGTAGAGTAATGAAGACTTCCTCTCTGCTTTCCCAGAAGTCACAGTGACGGCCAGAGAGGCGAGGCAGACATGTGACCTAAGAACCCCAATAAAAAGATGCAAAATAGAATGTGATTCCAGTCACACGAAAGGGGGACAGAACAGTACATGTGGGAAGGAAGCAGAGCCATAGAGCAAATTATTTAAATTTCAGGCCTCTTTTTGTTGTTGTTGATAATCCTCATCCAAGGATATTTTTCCGTTGACTTTTAGAGAGAGTGGCATGGAGGGGGGAGAGACACCGAGAGAGAAATATCAATGTGAGAGAGACACAGTGACTGGTTGTAGGCAACCGAGGTACATGCCCTTGATCAGAACCAAACCTGGGACCCTTCAGTCCTTGGGCTGAGGCTCTATTCACAGAATCAAACTGGCTGGGGCTGGACTCTCTCTTTTCAAATGTCCTCTTCTAGGAAATGAGGGGATGGAAAAAAATGCATGCAAGCCTTTGCAGAAAAAGTGACTTCTCCTTTGGTTGCAAGTGACAGAAACCTAGCTCAAAGAGGCCTAATAAAAATAAAAGGGGGGGTATATCTTGGATCACACAGTTGAACAATTGAAGAGTGGATCTAGGCTTCAGGCTCAGGCAGAGCTGCATCTAGACATTCAGACAACGCCGTCAGCAATCTGTCACTCTCCATTTACCCATTAGGCCAAACCGATGAGAGCATAGAAATCTGTGAGCTTTACCAACGTCTGGAAATGGGTTGGAGATTCCCCGAAAGACTGCTTGGCTTCAAAATGTGAGAAAAAGAACGAACGTGACAAGCTAGCAGACGTGTCACCGTGGAGGCCAGCTGCTCCCCAGCCCGGCCCTCCCCTCATCGCCAAGGCCGGCAGGTACCTGTCACCCTCATCCGTGTCCTCTTTGCCGTCCTTGACAGTGTTGACCGTCATCTCCTTGACGCTCTCTCCCCAGCTTCCTGGCCCTCCACTCTTCCTCCTGCCCCTCCGACTTCTTCTCCTTGGCTCTTCTCTGCTGAACAAAGGATGACTTAAAGTGAGCCGGGAGGAGGGCTGGGAAGAGAATCCGCACACAGGCAAAGCCCGGGTCACTGAGGAGCTGCAGTCGGTCACGACTTCTGGGAGGAGACAGGGTGATGGGGTAGAGCCCCAGGTTGGGGATGCAAGAAGGACCAGATGGAGAAGGTCTTTCCAAGTCGCGCCAGGAGTTTGGCTGGTCTCTTGAAGGCAGTAGGGAGCCACTGAAGGGGTCAGATGATCAGCATGTGTTTCACTGTCAGAAGGAGACCTCCAGCTGCGAGGTGGAGGCAGCATTCCAGGGAGACATCAGGCTGTTGCCAGAATAGAGGAGACACACTGTGGGGAAGCTCGGGACTGGGTTGGAAGGTCTGTGAGGAGGATTCTCCGAAAGGTCGGGGCCTCTGAGGGGACCTTGCCGAAGGCGGCAGCCCCTGCCTTGACTTTTCCAATCAAGTCCGATCCCCCTGGGTGTTTTGCTAGAATCTCTATGTTGAGTCTTTAAAGACCTGACCTTGTAGAAGCATGTGCTTTCTCAACGATACTTGCCCCGCTGATTGTATCTAGAGGTTAATTTGAGGTCAAGCCGTTGTGACAATAAAAGCCAAAGGAGGCAGGCGAACAGGGCGACGTGGCGGCGATAGCCAAGTAGTGCCTCAGCCCCCTCTCTCACAGAAACGTGTGTTAAAGTCATCATTCATCCGTCATCCAGGGTCTGCCCGTCAGTCCCGGCAAAAGAAGACGGTGCCTGATGAAGCAGTGATGGTGGGGAAAAGCGGTGGGTTCGTGAGGCATTGACAGGACTTGGTGCTGCTTAGATGTTAGAGGTGAGGGAGCCAGAGGTGTTAGGAACGAGTCTCGGGTTTCTGATTCTAAGGTGAGGAGCAGAACAGTGGGTTTGGAGGGGAAGTGAGGAGCTAGGTTCGTACACGCTTTGGAGGTGCCTGAGGTCTCTCTGGCTGAGTGTCCGGAGGCAGGTGCTCGGTGGGTCTGGAGCTGGGGAGGGAGGTCAGCGCTCCCCGCGCCACAGCAGCAGGACTTCTGGGAGGAGACAGAGGTGCCGACCTCCTGTCTGATGAGAATAAAGAACCTCCGGTGACCATAGCTGACCACAGAGCAACCTAGCAGCAGGATGCGCCCTGGGAGGAGCTCTGAGGCCTGAGGGGAAGGGGAAGGGGAAGGAAGAGGAGGGGACAGAGCCGGCCTGTTCAACCCTCGGCTTTTCTCTGCAGATCTGGAGGCTGCAGCTGAGACTGAAAGCACCAGCCTGGCTCCTCTAGGGCATCGGCTTCTCTGGGGCTGGCAGCCTCCCGGGGCAGGACTGTGGGGAGCTCATCCGCTGAAGGACTTGGGGGGCTGAGCTGCAGCAGCTGAGCCGAGGTAGGTGCTGACTGGGGCGGGGTCTGCAAGGGGGGAGTGGAAGAGGCAGATCGGAGCAGAGCAGATGGGGTGCCTGGAGGAGGGATGCTGGAGGGGGGTCCAGGGAAGGGCTGAGGCAGCCCTGGCTCTGAGGAACTCAGGCCCAGCCTCTCTGAGAAGGGTTACCCAGATCTGGCGGCTACTAGGACCACGCAGCCAAGTTAAGATTGTTCAGTCCATTTTCACAAGAAGAAAGGACACAGGCCCGTGCGAGAAGACCTCTTCTTTCTTCTCCGAATCTTGCAAATACCAATAATCATAAGATTAATGTACAATAATCATAAGACTACAGCCCCGTGCTGTAGAGTAAGGTTCCCATCCCACTGGATTCTCTTGAGCAATCGGAGGTAGTAGGCCGGATACATAAGATTAATGTACAATAATCATAAGACTACAGCCCCGTCCGTGCTGTAGAGTCCATTCCCCATCCCACTGGATTCTCATGAGCAATCGGAGGTAGTAGGCTGGATACAAGTTCTAATGCCCATTTTATAGGCCGGGAGACTAAAGCTTAGAGAGATGAAGCAACTTACCAAAGATTACAGGGTGATAAGCAACTCAGAACGAGCCTTCTGGGTTCCCTCTGCACCCCTTCTGGGGCGGCTTCTGCCCACCCCTCTCCCGGGGAACCTGGAGCCAGTGAGGCCAGTCAGGCCTCTCTCTCCACACACGTGGATCGAGCATCTTCTAGACGTGCAGCCAGCGCGAGTCCAACCAAAGCCCGTCTCCATCCTTGAGAAGCTGGCCGGCTGGTGTGGGGGTTGAGACCTGGCTACGAATGACTAACAGAGAAGGTCAAACTCGCCAGAGCCATGGGCGGGTGCGGTGTGAAGGCGGAGGTTGGTGCTGGGTGTGGGATCAGGAAGGGCTGGGCGGGAGGTGCACCTGAGCCTTGAAGGAGGCAGATGGTTTGTGTGCAAACACGAGGCACGTGTGCAAACCCATGGAGTAGGAGAGTGGCTGTGAGAGGTGGCGTTAAAGGAAAGAACGGCTGGAGGTTCAATTTGGACACCAAAGTGTAGAGTTTATGGAGGACTTTCAGGTCTGGCCTGTCCTGTTTCTTTATTTGGTTTTAAGTGGATTTTGAATATGATCTCATTTAGCCTTTACAGTAATCCTGTGAGTAGGTGCTATTATTAAGTCTCTTTTTAAAATATATATCTTTATTGATTTCAGAGAGGAAGGGAGAGGGAGAGACAGAAACATCAATGATGAGAGAGAATCATTGATCGGCTGCCTCCTGCACGCCCCACACTGGGGATCAAGCCCACAACCTGGGCATGTGCCCTGACTGGGAATCAAACTGTGACCTCCTGGTTCATAGGTCGGTGCTCAACCACTGAGCAACACTGGCCAGGCCATTAGGTCTCCTTTAAAGTTAGGGAACCTGAGGGGCAAAGGTTTTAAGCTACTAGTCCAAGTTGCCATAGCAATAGAGAGGGCTGAACCCAGGCAGCTCAGCACCCACGCTACCTGCACAGCCGCTCGCCAGGGCCTGCGCGCCCCTCTGTTACCTCGGAGAGATCGTCTCCCGGACTGGCAGCGAGTTGGAAGGCCACGCCGCAGTCAGCGCCACTTCGTCCTGGCCCCAAAGCTTCCCGGCCTGCGTGCAGCTCCCTGCCCCCGGGAACAATGCTCTCCCCTCACCCTCAGAATGGCCTTCCAACAGCCAGGTGTTTCCTTCCGTGCTATTGGCAGACAGAGAGGAGGAAATGGGCCGCCCCATCCACAGGGAGCAGCCACAGGGGAGCAGGCCGTCCCCTCCCCGACCCCGCAGGATCTGGAAAGCCTCACGGGGTGAGGGATGAGGGGTGAGGGGTGAGGGGTGAGGGAACCCTCATTCCTACTCCCTCCCCGCTGCTGTGAGTCTGCTGCCACATGCTCTAAACCAGAGAACCAGGTGTGTTGTCTGGCCAGCGTGACTGTCTCACTGGAAAGAGCACCTGCCCCTGATGCCCTGGGCGTGAGGCAGCGGTGGTGGGAGGAGGGGAAAGTGGATTCTTGGGGAGCAGGGAGGTGGCAGGCTTAGGACATCCCTTCTCTCTGTGCCAGGCTGTGGGCAGAGGGCATGAGGGAGGCAGAGCTGCAGTCCTGGGAAATCCACAGCTTTTTCCCAGGTTTTAGTCCAGAAGGGGTGGCCACAGGGCGGTCCGGGGGGTGGTTCTTCTGTCTGAACAGCCTGCCCTAGGAGCCAGCAGTAAGAGCCTGGGGTGCTGGGGTGGGCGGGGATGGTCAGAACCTGGGGTCTTTACTGTGAAACCCTGACCCAGGCCTCTTCACATCCTCCCCTAAATCCTGCTTACTCCAGTCCTTCCTCTCCGGAAGCCTTCCCACGGTACTTGCATCAACTATGGACAGCGGCCACTGTGAACACACTCCCGTCGGCCTCTTCCTGCTGCCTCCCAATGAGCGCCTCTATGGTTCTGTGGACAGTCCTGGGGCCTGCTTTTCCCTAAGGCAGTGACCAGTGTGGTCTGCACCTGCCCCAGGACTGCTCATTGTGGATGTGCTGTATTTAAGGAGATAGGCCCTTGAAATCCCAATTCCTTCATTCACTTATTCATTCACTCATTCTCTTTGTCTCTGGTCTGGTCCCTCTGTCAAGAACAATGAGGGGTCAAGATTTTACTCTACTTATAACTAACTGTTGGGGCTGACCGGCAGACCCTGAGCTACAGATGAATGATTACTCTGACACTAGTTTCTGTGAAAGAGAAGGCTAAGGGACTGCTTGGTTTGAGAAACCAAATGGTCAGGGTGAGGGAGAGACACAGGAGGTTGGCCAGCCAGGGAGGGACCACGGGAGGGCTCCAGGGCATGTCTGGCCCATCTCGTTTAGTCCCAATCAGCCGGACCCCAGCAGCAAGCTAACTGACCAGTCAGAGTATCTGCCCCCTGGTAGTCAATGCATGTCACAGTGACTGGTCGACCGTCTGCCCCTTGGTGGTCAGTGCACATCATAGCGAGTGGTTGAGCGGCCTTAGCATATCATTAGCATATTACGCTTTGATTGGTTGAACAGACGACCGGGCAACTAGACACTTAGCATATTAGGCTTTTATTATATAGGATTCCCCATAGATGCTTTTTTTTTTTTTTTAGTGTCTCCCCATTTACAATACAGACCAGGCAAAGGGCCTGAGCTGAGGTGTATATGGGGTGAGTTTACTCTGCCTCCTATTTCTGTACAGTTAGGGTAAGAACACAGTCTGTGGTAAGCACCAGGAGGCCCCCATAGATGCTTTTTAACATCAATTCACTGATGATGAATATTATTCCATTTTAAAGGGTTGACACATATGTGCTTATGTTTCCAATCACAAATAAGCACTTGTCTGTGTGCTACGGTGTTCTGTCTTTCCCCCAGATACTTAATGGCTGTTTCTATTGTCTGTAGTCTAGTTAATATTTATTTATGTACTGGTCTATAGTGAATTTCCTAGTTAAATTATAGGCCATATCTATAATAATAAAAGTGTAATATGCTAATTAGACCAGACATCCTTCCAGACGACCTTCCAGACAAAGCCAGGGCTGCAAGGGCTGAGCCCCTTGCAGAATTTCATACATCAGGCCTCTAGTTGTCTATAAATGTGGCAGTCTGTATAGACTCAGAAAGGGCCACCACAGCGACGCTGGCAGTAGTAAGAATAACAGCCAAGATAATGGCTGCAATGAGCATTCTCCAAAAATTTTGGGGCCGTAATTGGCTTAATGCTCTTTTTAAGACTTTGATAGCTGATGAGCCTTGCCATTTCCTGGTGAGATTAACAGGTATTAGGATTTCTGCTTGTCTCCTAAGTACCATAATAGTGCTGATGTTCAATGAGGTAACATTCTGGGTGGTAATACAGGATGCAAAATAAGTTTCTTCTCCAACCTGTACTAGAAAAGATGAGCTATGGTTTATTAGTAGATTGGGGCCCATAACAAAGACATAAGGGTGAGTGGTGTAAGTCAGGTTATTGTCAGTAAGATTATCAGTGAAAGTTGTACTATTGTGGCTGGAGGAGTTCTGGCAGTCACCGTGCCATGCCATGATAGGGTTTAATCCGATGAGCTAGAATCCACAGCGGCCCTGTGGGGGTGAAACACACCCATATCCTCTACCCCATGTTAATAATTCATTGGATCCTTGAGTCCTATATTCCCCCTTTTTTGTTTTACTAGTATGATCTTTAATGTCAAATGGGTGTGCTCGACAACGGCCTGCCCCTGTGGATTGTAAGGGATTCCCGTGGAATGCTGGATGGACCAAGTCCTATAAAAGGTAGCAAAAGCATGGCTGCTATAAGCAGGCCCATTGTCAGTTTTTATCTTGGTTACTATTGCTATAATTGGAAACAGTTCTTATTGAATCTATGTAAAGAAATGTATTGCTACTTATTAAGAATTCTGGAGGGACAAGTAGAAAGAGAAATATATAATTTACCAAATTGCTTTAAAAATGCTTCCTTATATCTGAAAAACAAAAAGTTTAAGAATTAGTAATACTTTTAACAAAAGTTAGAAAAGCTATATAATTATTTTCTATTCATTTAGCCCCATAATAAAATGTTTGTTTCTCCTGATTTTTCCTGCTAGTACTTCTATAAATCCAGATACCTTATGGAGTAATGGAAGTGACATGGAACCTTGTCCTTTCTGTAAAACACAATATTCCACAATAACAATTAGAGCTATAAATGAAAGCATAATATAGTAATTATTATTTGACAAAGTTTCCCATGTACTTTGGGCAGGAAACTTTCCTTTGTGAGAGAGAAAACAAATACTTGAGGCATTTCAGAGTCTATTGGAATGATCTAAAGCCAATTCTAGGTGAAGAAAAAGTTTCTTAAAATTTAAACCCTGGAAAGATTGTCAAATACATTAGACTAAAAGATTGTATATTATTATTATTACCAGAGGCCTGGTGCACAAATTCATACACGGGTGGGATCCCTCCCAGCTGATCGGGA